GAAAAGGCAGTTGGCTCTGCCTTTGATGGTGGTGAGTGAATTTCCTCCTTCCATATTTATCACACAGCCTTTAATCTTGGGAGTCCTCAAGCACTTTCATAGGTATTGCCCCCTTCTTGTGATGTCTTTTTTTTTTTTAATTTTATTGTATTTAATTCTTTTTTTTAAATGTTTTATTTATTTCTAAGAGAGAGAGAGAGAGAGAGAGAGAGAGCGTGAGCAGTCGAGGGTCAGAGAGAGAGGGAGTCACAGACTGAAACAGGCTCCAGGCTCTGAGCTGGCAGTCAGCACATAGCCCGACGCGGGGCTCGAACCCACGAACCGCGAGANCTGGTCGCTCGACCGAGTGAGCCACTCAGGTGCCCCTCCAATCTCTTCTTGTTAATCCTTTAAATTTTTTTTTTAATGTTTTATTTATTTCTAGGAGAGAGAGAGAGACAGCGTGAGCAGGGGAGGGTCAGAGAGAGAGGGAGTCACAGACTGAAACGGTCTCCAGGCTCTGAGCTGGCAGTCAGCACAGAGCCCGACGCGGGGCTCGAACCCACGAACCGCGAGATCATGACCTAAGCGAAAGTCGGACGCTTAACCGACTAAGCCACCCAGGCGCCCCCCTTCTTGTGATGTTTAAAGGATGACAGAGGAGTGAATAGAGAGAGATAATTCATAGCTTTGTGAAAAGATGATTAAACACATTTATGGAACATCCAAAAGGTTTGGGAACCACTGTGGCCCCCTTGCCTCAGCCAAAGACTGTGTCAGTGAAGCAGAAATCTCTTAGTGTTCTAGGAAATTGTAGAAGGGAAGTCTGCAAAATCATTTCCTCAATTACTTGAGAGTAAGTACATTTAATTCCTAAAGTTACTGTGTTTCATTGAATCTGAGAAACCATCTTTTGCAAGACTCACTTACTTTACATTTCACTAAAGAGGAATAAAAACAGACATTGGCACTGTCAGTTGTAAAACCCATTCTATCTCAGAGATACTAAAATGTGGAAAAATGTATGTTTAGAATAAGGGAAATACATAGTTTCTAATCACACATCCTTGGCAGAAAATGGAATCTAATTTCTTACCTAAAGTGGATAACTCCCAGCAATACTTTTTCCCAGTTTTATGAGAGGAACTGGTGTCCTGGGTGTTGTAGGTATTGCCCAGAAAGTATAACATTATAGATCCTGTCCCCAGCTTGCTTCACCAAATATCTTGGCATTTTCTTGTGTGAGGCTGACATCTGATGGACACATAACACTTGAGCAAAGCTTTGTATTTCAGAGTAAATTAAGTAAGTTATTGGCAAAGAAACCTAGCTGTAGAGAATAGACTCCACATTTTCTATTTTAATTTTATAAGTTTAGCAAAAATTTCCTTTTCAAATCTGGGTGCTGTGACAGAGTCTGAATTAGCTACAGAATGAAAGCTTGCCCTCAGTGTATCTTTAATATGTGAGGATAAAGCCCTTTAATGAAAGCAGTTATTCTTAATCCTCATGGTGCACTGGGATCATTGTGATGGACTGTTTATAAAGATGGTATGACAACCCTCCCATTTCACATGTCTTTTTGCAGTGTGACCTTGCCACTCCTATTAAAAAGTAGAGTTTGGGGCTCCTGGGTGGCTCAGTCGGTTGGGCATCTGACGTTGGCTCAGGTTATGATCTCATGGTTCGTGAGTTCAAGCTCCCTGTTGGGCTCTGTGCTGACAACTCAGAGCCTGGAGCCTGCTTTGAATTCTGTGTCTCTCCCCGCCCCCAGTCCCACCTCCACTTTCACTCTGTCTGTTTCTGAAAAATGAATAAAAACCTTAAAAGAAAAAGTAGAGTCTGTTTTCCTTCCCTTTGAATCCAGGTTGGTCTTGTGACTTGATTTGACCAATAACATGTGGTTGAGGGGATGTTGTGAACTTGCAACAGATCCATAAAAAGAAGCATTGGAATTTCAGGAATATCCACATAGGAAAGACAAGCTAGACTATCAAAGAAAGACACACCGTATGGAGAGGGCTCCCTAAGACAGTTGACACTAAGGTTCCAGATGTGTGTGGGAATCCATTTTTGACCTTCCAATCCAGCCCAGCCAAATAGTCCCAAACAGCTGCATAAGTGAGCCCAGGTGAGACAAGCAGCGGAACCTTCCAGTAAACCCACAAAATAGTGAGAAATAAGAAACAACTTTTTATTAAAGCCACTACCTTTTGGGCGGTTTGCTATGCAGCAAGAGGAAAGTTTTAAAAGAAGATTAAACAATGATGCCCAAGTCCAAACATTAGAGATTTGCATTTAACTCTACTGGTTGGAGCCCAGGAAATAGCAATTAAAAAAAAATCTTGTGGGATTGAGAATCACTGATCTAAATATTTTATGTCCATGATTACTTTTTCTAAAATCAGCAACACCACTGTTGTTCTAATATGTTACATTGCTTTCACAAACTCTCTGTAAGGGGTGAAAACTCGACACAAATGCCTAGTCCACACACACACACACACACACACACACACACACACAGAATTATTATTAGTCTCCTTTTATGTAGGATGAAATTAAAGTTCAGTGATTTTTACAAGATCATTGAGTAAGTGTAGAGTTGGTCATTTGACTCCATATCCTAAACTTCTCCCAGCTATATTTCTGCCTTCTGATAGTTACTTCTTTTGTGAGTGACTACTAAATACATACAATTTTTATATCTGGAGATGAAAGTAATGAGGAAGAGAGAAAGAAAAGTGACTAGGGCTCTAAAATCACAGAAAATTAGAAGAGTTAAGAGTGTAAAGATCTCTGTGATTCCGGACAAGTAACACAGTACATTTATAGTATTGACTCCAAATGACTATTGGGTGAGGAAGTACAGTAAATAGTACTAACACATTCAAGATAGAAGGAACTCTAAGCAAGACTCATTGACTTAATTCAAGAAGGATTTCAATTCCTACTATTAGAAAAGTCACGTTTTTCCTGATGCCATCTTCTGTATGGTCCAAGGGGATAGGTGGTAAAGACTACGAGAGCCTCACTTATACTTAGTTTAAATAATAAATCTTTAGATAAAGTGTTCAAAGGGATACTTCTGACACAGTTAATGCTCAGACTCACATAGAAAGGAAAGACATTTTAGCTGCAATAACCACCTATGTGAGATTCGTTGTCCTTCATTGACAAGGGAAGGAGAGCTATGGACATCAGACCTACTGGAAGGAACTCAGAGTTTAGGGTAACATGGCTGTGAGATACACGGGGTCTTCCCCCACATGGTGATGTGGGCTGATTAGAATGTAGCTATAAGCAGGAGCCGGGATATAGCTCTTATCGTTAAAAACTACAGCAATGCTTCTCAAACTTCAACATGTGAATAAACCACCTAAGGCTCTTGATAAAATTGCGATGCCTTAGATCTTGGGTGGGGTCTGAGATTCTACATTCCTAACAAAATCCCAAGTGATGCTATGGCTGCCAGTGTGCAGACTATATTTTGAACACTAAGGTTACGCAGAATTTACCCCAGAACAGTTCTCAGACTGTGATTGCAAGACCAGCAGCATCAGCATCACCTGTGAACTTGTTAGAAATGCCAATTCTTGGGCCTTGCTTAGGGCTACTCAATCAGAAACTCTGGGATTTGGGCCCAGACATCTGTATTTTAACAAGCCCTCCAGATTATTTGGATGCTAAAGTCTGAGAACCACTGATCTAGAGAAGTATCTAACCAGCCATAGTAGAATCACCTGAGGAGCTTAAAAACAAAAGGTAAGGCACTGGTTTCCATGCCGTGTTAATTAAATCAGAATCACAGAATGTGTGAACCTTCGTCATGGGTATTTAGAAAATTGTTCCTGGGCAATTACAATATGCAACCAGGTTTGCGACTCAGTGCCTGAGGGAGGTTGGGGTGGGGGAGAGAAAGAGAGAGAGAGAGAGAGACAGACAGACAGACAGGCAGACAGACAGACAGACAGAGACCCACTTACTGCTTGAGTCTTTGCCAGCAAAAGTCTGGTACATGTTGGGGTGTCTGGGGCTGTTGGTCCAGCTGCTCTCTTCCTCCTTATGGCTTTGCACCTGTAACCAAGATCCCAGCAGAACTCAGAGACAGTGGGGAAAGGTGTTGGATAGAAGGTGGCAGTAGAGGAAAGAGTCTGAGTGTACTTGAGAGACTTGGATTTTCCCCTCATGACAGTAATGTGGTAGTGAGGAAGGCAGGAGCTGAGGTGCAGCTCTATGTCCAGTGAGAGGTGAAATACATGCAAACGATATTACAAATCATCACAGCTTCTATTTGTGGCAAGGATCTGAGAGCTTTTCCAAGAAAACTCAGCACTTGATGACAGTAATGTCTATGGTCTCAGGCAAGAGAAGTCTTGAGTTTTTGAGAGTCCAGAGGATGAAGAGTTGGTGGACCTATAGGATGTGCTCACCTGGATCTTGCACTACGCCTTCTAGAACATGCTCTAGTTACACAGGATACCCAAATATTGTGCTCAGATGGCCTCAAGCCTTCTTCAGGGAATTGCACTGGATTTGCCTTGTATCTGCTATCTTAAAGGGTTAATCTCATGACTACTCTATGCACCCCTAAGCATGAGTGATGACCAACAGATGGCTATTTGTGTCAGTAAAGGGTGTGTAGCTTTTGTATATGCAGGCTGGGGTGCTCACACATCTATGTGCAAAGTCTTTATGGTTTAGGACAGATCTGGGCATGGGAAGAGAAGGGGAGAGTCCAGGAGCTGGGGAGTGGCTCTGTCCAAACTGCTGTGTTCTAGCACAGAAATCTAAAGAGTCTAAGAATTTAAGTTTGAACCTGGACTTCCAGGTCTTTATGGTTACATATTCATTGATGTAGAAGAGAACATATTTTATTTAATAGTGTTTAGCTTAGTGTATAATCAACCTCTATTTATACTCTTGTGTGGATCCCACAAATGATAGACAGCTGTGCTTGATTAAAAACTTCAGTGAAGATCAGATCAGATGAGGAATTAAAAAAGCTCTGGAAATTTGGATGCTCCTAAGAAATCAGACCTATTAACCCTCTATTAACCTGCCCCCAAAAGTTTCTGAATGCAATTCAAGAATTGGGATATCTGATGAGGATAGGGAGCCTGGATTCCCTTTACCCAATGGCAAGAATACAAAATCTTTCTCTACCAGGCTCTCTCTTGCCCCCAACCCTCTCATGTCCTCCAAGTCACAAGTGTCCTGCAGCTGCTGAGTTAGAGATGGGTGCAGTGTTGGGCACTCTTGGCTCTGCTGGATGATGGACAGGTCCAAAGACTTAACCATTCTGCTCATGGGATTCTTCTGAAACAGGCTCTTTCTTGCTCTGCTCTTTCTTTTCCAGAAAGTCTCATCCTTGGCTGAATGGATTTCCTTATTGGTGGCCTGTAGACCCCACAGCTCTCTCTTAACGTGTGCAGGGTCTGTGCTCCACTGTAGATCTGCTTTGGGCAGAGAATGTGTGCAACAGGTTGCCTCTGGGTTAGAATCCAGAGTTTGTGATGGTGCTTGCATTGTGAGTATGCCCTGCTGGGTTTCCTCTTCAGGGCAAAGAGCACATGAACCAGAAGAATTGGGCAGCTGTGTATCCCTGGTTGAGGGAACAGGATCTTACTCTGAGCTTGGCCCAAACCCAAGGTCTTGCTGGAAGACCAGCTTATCTCCTCTCACTCTGTCCATCACTTCCCATACCACTCGGTCCAAACTGTTCCTTTTGGTGATATTATGGGGTGGTGACAGCCGATCTCGGGGGCATGTATACAGGCACATCTTGGAGATGGCTTTCCGGAGGCGCTCTCTGGGTGAGTGAGGTTCAGGTTCTGGAGCCAGAATCTTGATAGACGGCACATCAGTTGGGTTGCAGCTCCAGAACATGTTGGATGGTGTGAACTTTTGGACCGGTGTCTTAGACACATAGGAGTAGAGACAGAAGAAGGCATCAGCAGTGACGGCCAGTGTTTGCACCTGCTTAAACCTGCCTGGGCACAAGGGTTGAAGATGGTGAATCTGGGGGTCATCAGTAAATTATCACTTGTATCTCTTCCTTCAATAGCCTTCCTAAGGCTCAAAATTCAGAAAGAAGATGCCATTTTCCCCACCAGTGTTTATCCCACTTAGATTTCTCACACCCAGGATCCCTTTTCTTGACTTTCTTGACTTCATGAGTCCCCATCCTGAATAGATATCTTCCTTCAGTCCAAAAATGAATTCTATATGGGATGAGGAACTTTTCTATATCCTGATTTAACATGTCCTTTCTTCTGTCCGTCTATTCTAAACAATGCCTTCTAGTACTATTTGCTTTAGATGACAAACATGGCAAAAAAGGACAAAACCAACATCCTTTCTTAGACAGACAAAACTTTAGGGTTCTAGAAGGTTTCTGGGCAGCAACAAATTTGAAGAATGGCAATTATTAGCCAGTGGACTAAGGTACAGAAATTTTGATGGACTCTCTCATTTTTTTAAAAGCAAACTCTATGCCCAATGAGGGGCTTGCACTCAGGGACTATATCATTATATTAGATCTTGCTTCACAAAGTGTGGTCACTGATCCAGAAGTATGGGCCCTCCTTAGGAACCTGTTATAAATGTAAAATCTCAGACTGTATCTCAAGCATTTTAATAATATCCTTTAGTAATTCATGTGCACATCCATGCTTGAAAAGCACTGAGATAAGCCATGCAGCTATTAGACTGTAAGCTTCCAAAAGGCAAGAATCATGTTTCTCTTCTCTAGGCTGCTCTTCCAGAATTTAATATCTAATTGTGTACTTGGCACATAAAATAAATACAATAAATTATACTCTCATTTTAGTGTACATAAGAATCATCTAAAGTTGTGAATATACTCCAACTCAAAATCATTGTTGCAATGGGTAGAGCTCAGGGATGTAGTTTTACCAAGCTTATTTTAAGTTGAATCCAATGCAAAGAATCTGAAACAACACTGTCAGAAACCTAGTCATGTTGAGGATGTAGCAGAATATAATTTGAAACATATTCTAACATATAGAGTCAAATAGAGGGGTGCCTGGCTGGCTTCGTTGGTTAAGCGTCTGACTCTTGATTTTGGCTCAGGTTATGATTTCATAGTTTGTGAGACTGAGTCCCATGTCAGGCTCTTTGCTGACAGCACAGAGCCTACTTGGGATTCTATCTCTCTCACCACCTCTCTCTGCACCACCCCTGCTTGTGCTTGCTGTATCTTTTTCTCTCTCTCTGTCAAAATAAAGAAATAAACATAAAAAAAAGAATCAGATAGAGTCTTTTATCCCTCCTCTAGCTAGAGAAGGCCTCTCATATCTTTTCTTAGTATGGAATCAGGACAATTTAAATAATTGTTACACTGGATGTGGTCTAAGGATTACACATAAGAATCCTGTGTGCTTTTTAAAATAAATATTCCTGGGCACCTGGGTGGCTCAGTTGGTTAAGCTTCTGACTTTGGCTCAGGTCATGATCTCATAGTTCGTGGGTTGGAGCCCCGCATCTGGCTCTGTACTGACAGCTCAGAGCCTGGAGCTTATTTCAGATTCTGTGTCTCCCTCTCTCTCTGTCCACTCATGCTCTGTCTCTCTCTGTCTCAAAAATAAATAAACTATATAAAAATTTTTTTAAGAAAATAAAATAAATATTCCTGAACCTCTCCCTCTATGGAAAAAAAAAAAGCTTATGAATATGAATGTTTTATAAAGTCTCTGGACAATTTAACATATTTAGCTTTGAGAACAATTGCCCTAAAGGGAAATGATTTTAATATAGTGGCTATAAATGAGGACCATTCTATTGTTCCAAATGAGAAATAAAAATGGGGATAAGACTTGAAGAGATTGTTCTCATTTGATTCAGCTAAAGGAGAGAAAACCTAAGAACGTAATAGTGATATGAAGTGTCTTCAAGACTATTTCTTTAAGAGGGAGAGGCGTACATCGAAATTCTCCATGTTGAAAACAACAGCAAAGAAATAGACACAAGAGACAAAGGGTCAGTGAAACTGATCAAGAGGAAGTAGGATCTATAGCCACTGCACCCTGTTGTGAATGGCAGAGACATAGAGCAGATCTATGACAATACTCACTGGCCAGCATGAGGCAAGGGTCCTCCATCTCAATCCTCCGCACCTGGGCCTTCAGGAAGAGTTGGAAATCAATGCCTTTGGCCTGAGAAGGGGTAGTGAAAAATCGGGCAGGAATCCGAGAAGTGTCTTTGTGGTCCTCTTGGCCAAAGCCCAGACTGAAGAGAACATCTTCTGCATCTTCTTGCACCTTGTCCAGAATCTCAGAGATGCTGAAAGGAGGGAGTTTGGAAAAATAGGGGCAACTTTGAGTTTCAAGGTCATCCAGAGTAACTAATAAAAGTGTCAGGAGACTTATCTTCCTGATCGTTTCTCTAACTTCCACTTTGTGAGAAAAGCTTTCACTTCTGTGAACCTACATTTTCTGTCTGGAATTACCTTCCAGCCCTGGCTTAACCCAATTAGATTCTATCATAGTACTTTAAACAACATTGCCAGTGGATGAAAATTTGCTATGAGAGGGATTTGAAAAAATCAAAAGCATTATAGATTTAAAGAAATCTTATGGTTATGGATTATTAATCGGTCAGTTCCCACCTGCATATACTATGACTTAGCTGGCTTTTGTCAAGTGCTTTGCAGCTTGCTACTCAGCTTACCTTGACGGTTGTGTGGGACAACTAGGGAGCAAGTGTGTAAGAAACACAAAAGTCATTTTATTCTTACCCGGAGGTAAAAATTAACCAATGTTCAAAACCTGATTTTGAGAGGTAAACCCCTTTGTAGCCCTATTTTCAGGACAGAAGCCCTGCATTACAGAAAATCAAGCTCTCTCTGTCTCTGTCAGTATGGTACTAACATGTGTCTACATCCAAAGCTGTGTGCCACCAAGCTAGGTGACACTAGAGCTCAATAATGATGCATTCCACATAAATAAATCATGGCGATGAAAAGTGCAGGATAGGGGATGTAGTCAGTAACATTGTAATAACATTGTTGTTGTGACAGATGGTGACCACACTTATCCTATCTTATAAGGCGTAATGTACAGAAGTGTTGAATCACTAGGCTGTACACCTGAAACTCATATAACATTGTATATCAAGTATATTTCAGTGGAAAAAGTGCAGATATCTGAGTCTCATCTCCAGAGTCTGACTTAATTGAAGTGGGGTGTGGCCAGGGTGGAGGCGTAGTGAGGACAAATCACTAAAGATAATTAAGCAGCTAATAAATGTGAGAACGGTTTCTCACATTCGAACCTTGAAACCAAATTCCAAACACTTTTTATTATAGTGCATTATTTTTCATAACTTCCCACCTTAAAGCTGTTTGTGTGTGTCTTTTGTTCACCCTATTTGACTGTTGAGCTCTTGGGGGCAAGAACTTTGCTTCATCTTTTCAAATTTTACCTAGTCATTGCCCCATCTGTATAAGGGGATACAAAATTGCCTGAGCGCTTCAACATTTAACTGATTCATTCAATCAACAAATCAATCACTACATTTATTGTAAACAATCACTGTAAGTCCAGGAACTGTGGTGATACCCACACTACACCTCCTGGCGAACAAGTTCACAGCTATTTGACACAGCATCCATTTCTGAGAACCGGGTTCTTCTGCACTGTGCTCCCCTCCCCCCAAGTTGTTCTTGAAGCAAATGTGGACATACTTCTCCAGAACGTGACTGCATAAAATCTCCAATAAGGTATCCAAGAAAAAATGGGCAAGGGCTCTTGGTTCCACTCTCTTCTGCCTCTCTTCTTCGACGCTTGTACAGCCCTGCCGAACTTGGCACCTACCTTGAACTAGTCTTGTTCGTCCCACCAGTCATGCTACTGGAAGCCAAACTGCAGCCGAGATCCAGCAGCTGGCAGGGCCGGGCTGCCTCCAGGAAACTCCTGCAGGGAAAGGAGCTGATGTCACATGAATCTTGTAAGCCATCTGCATCCTGGCTCCAAGACGTGCTCTGTTCGGCATATTTATCCCCTGCTGTGTACCTTCTACCATCTACTGTGCAAACTCAGTCGAGGGCCTCATTCCTGGTTGGAAAATCTCACTCTCTATTGTGACTCTTTAGCTCTTTGTTTTCGATCTCTTTGACTCTGACACCTACCCTAGTTCAGTAGCTCCTGAAGAAGACATCATTCAGTCTGGGACCCTGACACTTACCTGGAGAAGACTTTGCTATTGGCGGCCAGTAGTGTGGCTGGACAAGGAATAAAAAGGCAAGAAGAAAGTTAGAAAGGAAAATGAAAATCACCTATGCTGCCTCTCTCAACTTAAAACTCACCCCCCTCCATTCCCCTCTGCCACTACTACAGGCTTAATGAACCCCATGAACTCTGCTCTTCATGGGAGTATCTAAAGATGATCAAACACAGACCTGAAAGGGGGACAGACATGGCAGAGAACAAGTGGCCCTAAGCCTCTGAGCTTATAAACCATGACTGGTGTCTAGACAAGAGTTTCTCTGTCTTGAGGAGGATAACATCATTCAGCGTTCTATGCTAGTGTTCCTGCCCCAAAATGTGAGTCTCTACGGGTCCCAGGGGACACTGGTATATTGCAACACCTCCATCCTTTATTTAAACCCTTATCTTCTTGCGGTGCAATCTCTCTCTTATACCCAGTATTTAGGCTGCTTTAGGCTTCCTATACAGAACAGTTTCAACGTTGTCTGGGCAGCCAATGTCATGGTGATTTTATGTGTTGTCTTCCCAGGAGCCAAATGAAAGCCCTCATGATGGACTGGTAGACATCATGTCAGGCTGGTGAGGAAATATGTCTGTCTGGGCACATGATGCTTTATGAGTTTTACTTTAGATCATAATGAGACTGCTTTTTCTCTATAGATAAGACCTAGGGAATGGGTTGCTTTTTTTCACATTCTCCCCTTTCACTCTCCCCTTTCATTTCTTAAGTATCTGATGTATAGCCTCTTTGATTCCAACGTCAGAGAGCTGTTGCCACTTACCCTCTGCTCCGAGGGTCAAATCATCTTCAAAGCTGGTTCCATGGCTGAGGCACCCTGTGGAATAAGGCAAAGGTCACAGAAAATAGACTTACATGCACACACACACACACACACACACATACATGCATGCATGAACATCTATAAACACATAATCATATCAGACATCACATGTTTGCAAAACTCCCCCCAGCTATACATATACTACCTCAGAAATCACATTTATATTTCGATTTAGAAAGACTTCAACAGCCACCTATAATTAACCTGTCCCTTATATCACATAGTCACGGACGCAATCCTCTGTCAGATAGTGGGCACATGGAGCTGTGTACTCACACACAGAAACACCCACATCTTATAAAGCTCTTTTCCTATAGCAGTGGTTGTTAGCTGAACAACCACTGATATAAGATAATCTTTGAGTACTAGTCAGCCTGTCAGCTGAGCCCATGTTTTCTATATCTTTTGGACCTCCTCGACTGCCTTGTGACCACTAATAGGTGTTTTAGAGACAGTTAGAAGGCAGTCAGCATTCTTATATGTGCATATGTGTGTGCATACATATATTCTCTCTCTCTCTCTCTCTCTCACACACACACACACACACACACACACACACACACACACACACAGCCAAATCACTGTCCAGATAAGAGAACAACAGAGGAAATAGCAGAGCCTATACTCACCATTGTAGCCTGACTGTCCTATTTCCTCAAAAAACCCTTCTTCAGAGTATCTGAGGAGCAGAAATGAAGCTTGAAGTCACTACATTTTCCAAGGTGCTTTTCCTCTAATAAATCTCACAAGTTCACATAATTTTCCAATGAGAACCAGCAGTATTTAATTGCTGTTATGTTGAAGAAAACTAAGACAGAGTGGTTATTTGACAAATTCATAGAAGTAGTCAAGGGAAGGGGCGCCTGGGTGACTCAGTCGGTTAAGCGTCTGACTTCGGCTCAAGTCATGATCTCACGGTTTGTGGGTTTGAGCCCCATGTCAGGCTCTGTGCTGACAGCCAGCTCAGAGCCTGGAGCCTGTTTCAGATTCTGTATCTCCCTCTCTCTCTGACCCGCCCCTGCTCATGCTGTCTCTCTCTCTCTCTCAAAAATAAATTTAAAAAATTAAAAGAAAAAGAAGTAGTCAAGGGAAGTGGGACTGGAGTGCACTGTATTTTAGATGATGCTGCCATTGCACTGATCCCTCTGTCCAAAGTCAGCTCAGAAAGTGACAGGTCTGCAGTTGCTAAGTAAAACAGGGAAGAAAAAATATAGAAACAAAATATAGAAAAAAATGTAGAAATACATTTTTATAAGCAGAGGTATGGGTACCATAATTTCCACATCACAGATACAAGCATTGATATTTTTCAACTTTTAGGAGGAGGTCATTTAGCTTCCCATGCCCTCTTCTTTTGCTCTGCAAGAACGCCATGTTCTTGCAGATGATCATATCTCTCAGGAAGCAGCAGAAACTACATCTTGGTTAGAGATTCTAATTTTACATTGTGAGATATGGTCTTATCAAACATTTACCATCTCCACAAGAGGAACAGACAGAAATCAGCATCCATGGTAGTGAGAAATAACTCAGTTTTACAAACAAGGAAGAATTCTGTGTCTAAAACAGGTGATTGCATTCCTGCTTCCTGGCTGCTGCTCTGTTCTCAGATATTACATGAGGGGATGTGGATACCTAGATATGTCCACTTCTGAGGACTAATGCTTTGTGAACTTTATAGAGTTCATTTTTGCTCAAAGTTTTTAAAAGGGAAGTTGCACAGGATGCTTTGAATCTAGTCTCAGTATGTAATCACTCAATGAAACGTTCAATTACTAATTAATGGTAATAAGTCTACTAACTGAACATCCATAGATCAAGTTGTGTTCAAGTTTTACAAAATAAATCAGTGCATATATAGACATCTTTTATTGGTACCTTCCTTTCAATGGTGAAAAATCAGCCATGTTTTCAAAAATGTGTATTTTTATGTCTTCATGAAAAAAACCTGCACATCAAGGTACATTATAAAATATGAAATAATACACACAGGTAATTAAGGATGGTTAACTCTCATATGATTTCACTTATATCTGGAATTTAAGAAACAAAACAGATGAACATAAGGGAAGGGAAAGAAAAATAAGACAAAAAGTCAAACCATAAGAGACTAAAATACAGAGAACAAACTGAGGGTTTCCGGAGTGCTGGGGGGTGAATGTGGGATGGGTTAAACTGGTGATGGGCATCAAAGAGGACACTTGTTGGGATAAACACTGAGTATTATTTGTAAGTGATGAATCACTAATTTCAATGTTAACTAACTTGAATTTAAATTAAAAATAAAAGAATGGGCAACACTAAAAATGTGCTTCTTTTCCTAACAGATAATTACACAAAAATATATTTTCATATAATATTATGAACATATATGTTAGCATATATACTATTACAAATATCAGTATAAATTTATGTTTACTATTACTACTTTTTTATTAAGTTTTTAATTTTAATTCTTGTATAGTTAACATACAGTGTTATATTAGTTTCAGGTGTACATACAGTGATTCAACAGTTTTATACATGACTCAGTGCCCATCATGATAAGTATACTTTTAATTAATTAATTAATTTATTAATTAATTTATTAATTAATTTATTTTTAAATCGTATATTGTCAAGTTGGTTTCCATATAACACCCAGTGCTCATCCCCACAAGTGCCCTCCTCCATGCCTATCACTTACCTTCCCCCCCTCCCACCCCACCTCAGCCCTCAGTTTGTTCTCAGCATTCAAGAGTCTCTCATGGTTTGCCTCCCACCCTCTCCCCTACTATTTTTCCTCTTCTTCTCCCCCACGGCTCTCCATTAAGTTCCTCCTAATCTTCCTATACGTGCAAACATATGGTATTTGTCCTTCTCTGCCTGACTTATTTCACTTAGCATAACACCCTCAAGGCCCATCCATGTTGCTACACATGGCCAGATTTCATTCTTTCTCATTGCCATGTAGTATTCCATCGTATAAATAAACCACATCTTCTTGATCCATTAGTCAGATGATGGACACTTAGGCTCTTTCCATGTTTTGGCTATTGTTGAGAGTGCTGCAATGAACATTGGGGTACTATTACTACTAAAAAACGATAACATATAAAGTCAACTATTAGAATAGTGAGATCGACTATTGCATTTAATGCTTGTGCTGTACCTACACATAACACAAGTATCAGAGCCTTCCAGAACTGGAGACACAAAATCTCTATTGTAAAAAGGACAAGTTGTATGGTAAATTAATGCTTCACAATGACAAAAAAGAATGAACATTTAACATGAGATCTACCCTCAACAAATTTCGAAGTGCGCAATATTGCATTGACAATACTGCATTGTTAATATAGGCACTATGTTGGATAGATCTCTAAAACTTATTCATCTAGTGTAACTGACACATATACCTGGTGAGCTGCACTATGGTTATATTAAAAGGAAAAATTCTATTGATGTGTATGCTATACTTCAATAAAATTTACTTTAAAAAATACCACTGGTAAAATTTCTGGTTTGTCCAAGCAAAACTCAGTCCTATGCACTAGATACAAGTTTTGTTCAGTGTTCAGCCTATATTTCTCTTCTCTAGTTGTGCCCTGGCAGGCATGTCTATACACTCTATATGAGGACCAGCCCAGGATGAGCTTTGGAACAGTAGGCTGTGTATATAACTACAGAAGTATGAAAATGAGCCTGGATCTACTGATTGACCTGAAGTTGATTTAAAATTTCACAGCCATCACCCAAGTCCCAGGTCTCTCCTGTGTTAATGTTTAGGACAAAACCCATGACTAGGGGCTAGATCCGTAGCTGCTTCTCTCTCTCCATCTTCCACTGAAAGGTCCCTTAACATCATCTCAAGTCTGAAATAGAAGAGCCCAGGTGCCACTTGTCTTGTATACCCAGTTCATAAACAAAAGTAGGAGGAGGATTGGATTGTGAGAAGAAGGATGTGACTATTTTTAGCCTCTTCCAGCAATTTCTATAGATCTTGCCTGCGAGATTTAAACTGAAGGTCACACAGATGATTTTTGGGCTCTTAACCCAACCTCTGATGATTCACAAGCAGCACATTCATATCCTAGAAAACCCACTGGGAGCCTTAAGAGGAGAAATAAAAAGGAGAGGCATAGTTTGTGAAGATATACATGATCTAGATCTGCAGTGGAATGGTCTGCCACTAGATTCAATACACTGAGAGACACTGACACTAAATTACCCAGGAAGTTGGTGGGTGTTCTTGGAGAGCTTGTCAGAAAACAAAACTGTCTTGCTATCAGAGCATGTTTATTTGGCATTGGAAAGAAAATGGAAACCATATAGCCTTGAAATAAAATTTGAAAAGTGCCTCCCGGGCATCTGTCAACAGAGTGGACAGATATCCAGTGAAAGTGGGTTCCTTGTTCATCTTCTCTCCTCTGTGGTCTTGACGGCTTAAGAATTGAACATTGTGGTGACTCAGAAAGTCATATGTGGAATGCATTATCCCTATCTTCTTCAATGTCTATTATAAAATTTTTTTTTAATGTTTTATTTATTTCTAGGAGAGAGAGAGACAGCGTGAGCAGGGGAGGGTCAGAGAGAGAGGGAGTCACAGACTGAAACAGGCTCTAGGTTCTGAGCTGGCAGTCAGCACAGAGCCCGACGCGGGGCCCGAACCCACGAACCACGAGATCATGACCTAAGCGAAAGTCGGACGCTTAACCGACTAAGCCACCCAGGCGCCCCTTCAATGTCTATTATAAAAATCAAGAGTTCTTTTGCTACCATCAATCATCATCAACCTTTAATTTTTCTAATTTTCCCATATAACTAAAAAGTATTGCATTTGTATTAGGGGGGATTAGAAAATAGATATAATTGGAAATACTTTATAAACCTAATAATTCCCCCTTCAGAGACAAATGTGGATTTTTTTTTTTTTTTTACAAATGTGGATTTTTTAAGTTTGTTGATTTATATTGAGAGAAAGAGAGAGAGAGGAGAGAGAGAACCCCAAGTAGGCTCTGCACTCTTGGCACAGAGAGCAATGTGGGGTTCGAACTCATAAACCATGAGATCATGATTTGAGCCGAAATCAAGAGTTGGATGCTTAACTGACTGAGTCACGCAGGCACCTTGACAAATGTTAAGAGACTTTCCTATGGGCTTTTTAAAGTTGACTATTAAATTTTTTTCAATGAGTAGAAAGGTAAAGAAAATATGACAGACACCCTTGCTCTTGCAACCCTACTTTCACACCTATAAGCATTTTGCCATATTTGTTTCTGAACTCTCTTAATAAAAATATAAATATAATATTAAAAAATATAACTACCGCCTCATTTTACTCCTATTATTTCCCACTTTTTTCCTTCCCAGAGGTAACCACTATCTTAGAGTTGGTGTGTATCCCTTCTACACATATTTTTCTGAGAAATAAAGAGATCTAGACAGACAGATGCTAAATATACAAGCAGATCTATTTTGTGAAATTTTCAAGTAGCACAAAGTCCCTCCTTTATAAGCCTTACCACTCACATATTATTACAGAGCATAAAGCACTTGTGCATATATTGTATCATTTAAATCTCACAAGAAACTTTGAAACTTTATTATTCTAGCTCTCCACATTCTAGGTGAGGAGTCTGAAATAGAAGGAGCGTCGATTGTTTTCTTACAGGTGATTATACAGAGAATGAGCACAAGTTTTGGCTCAAATCTTGGAACTTTTTACTCACCAGACTATTTTTTCAGTCCATGTTTTGTTTAGGGTTTATCTTTGTAGAATATAGGTGGGGAAAGGTAATATCTGGAGTTTACAATCTTGTATTTCTGTGAATTTATTCTTTTCAGCTAGAACATAGTATGTTTTTTTAAACTTTTATTTATTTTTGAGAGACAGAGACAGAGCATGAATGGGGAAGGAGCAGGGAGAGAGGGTGATACAGAATCTCACCAGGCTCTAGGCTCTGAGCTGTCAGCACAGAGCCTGATGCAGATCTTAAACCCATGGACTGTGAGATCATGATCTGAGCTGAAGTCGGACACTTAACTGACTGAGCCACCCAAGCGCCCCATACTTAGTAAGTTTTAATTCAAGTATTTTAAATTACTTGGCCCCCTTTCAGGACATTTAGACAATCAGACATTGGCAAATGCACTGTCAATGATTACTGATGTAAATTGACCCAAGAGTGTGCATGACAGAAAGACATTAACGGAACCAGTTATTGGTTCTCCAGTAGGTATCAGGTGAAGCATTGTAAATCCTAGGACAGTTATGATGCACCAAAATGTGCCAACATTCCTATTACCACCATCGCCTCGCTTTCTGAACTTTGAGGGCAACTTTACTCTGAAGTCAAGGAATTGTGAACCAGATTAAGACAATAAGGACAATATGATTTGTAAACCACAAAAACACAAGATAAGTCCTTCCTGACCTCACCTTCTGGGACAGAGTTGAAATAAATGACCTTCCTACCAAATAAGCAAGGATGGGTTTATTTATATGTTTACAGGTGAGTTCAGATGAAAGAATATGTAAAGTCTGAAACATTCCTGGAGGGGCACTAAGGAGCTGAATTCTCAGCATCATCACACAGAGGATCAGGTTTAAGTAGGGCATAGAAACTTTCCCTCTGTGTCTGGGTAGACTGAGCCTAAGATGGTACTGATGAGGTGTGGGGTATCATATTTTACTGTTTCTGAGGAGAGAGATACTGCATTTTGCCTTGAAGTACCTTCTCTAGTTCTTCACTGCTTCCTGTGTTCTGTGGTAGAAATGAACACAGTGATGAATTCCTATGATCATAAGAACAATTAGGTTTCAGAGAAATATCTTATGATTTCACTCATGTGTGGAATTTAGGAAACAAAACAGATGAGCTTAGGGGAAGGGAAGGAAAAATAAGATAAAAAGAGAGAGGGAGTCAAACCATATGAGACTCTTAAATGCAGAGAACAAACGGAGGGTTATTGGAGGGGAGGTGGTGGGGGATGGGCTAGATGGGTGATGGCATTAAGGAGGACACTTGAGATGAGCACTGGGTGTTGTATGTAAGTGATAAGTCACTGGATTCTACTCCAGAAACCAATAATACACTGCAGGCTAACTAACTTGAGTTTAAATTAAAAAAAAAAAAGGCCAATTGGGTTTCTAACCCCTCTTTTGTTATACGGTGTCAGACTCCAGTCTGAAGAAGAAGCAATGGAGGAGGGATCAGAAACAGCCCAGACAGTGCCCACAACTGCAGATTTCCATCATTCTGGGCTCTAGACCACATCCAGCCTGGATTTCCAGACCTCCACTCTTAACTTAGTCTCTGCCCAGAGCTGCAACTCACTCAAGGCCCAGTGCCCACATTCACCCCAAACCCTTGCAATCCACAACCCCCCGCCCACCATTTCAACCTCGCATCTATCTAATCATTAGGCCCAAATCAAACCCATTTCCCTGTCTCTGAGCTCCCGAGAGTCAGTGCCTGTTAGCAGATCCCGCCGTCCACCCATTTCGGTGCCACGGCCCCTCCGGCACTTACCCACAGTCCTGCAGCCAGTCTTCAATCTTACTGATCGGATTCCCTGGAAACAGCAGAGATCAGATTGCCATGAGAGCTAAAGGAGGTCAGACTTCCTCCCTGCAACTCAGCCCGTTCTGCAACTTTATCCTTATGTAAGCCATGCCATGACCCCTTTAACCCCACAAAGCTTTTCTGTAAGATATGAGAGGAATACTCCCACGTATAAAAATAGTGTATATTTCTTCTCTCTCTGCTTCCCTCCCACTTCTTCCCAGAACCTGGAAAATGCCCAGGATGACAGCCCCACGGCTCCCTTTTCCTCCAGGTTAGGGAACAGGGGTGGCTTCTTCTCTAATAAAATTTTAAAAAATAATAAAAAGAAAACAAAGTGACAGCAAAAATCAGAATTTTGTGTTTACACTTTTGTTTTCTGCCAAATAAGCAGGGATGGATTTATTTATATAAAAGTGTTTTTTTTTTTTAACTCTTTGTCTATAGTCTCATTTGAGCCTTGAAGAAGCTCTGAGGGTCATGTAGAAAATGTACTACCACTACTTGAGGCACGACCACTTCAATTAGACAAATACGCCTTTGAGAGGTAGGTGACTTGCCAAAGGTCATGCAGCTCTCTAGCAGCAGAGTTACAGCCAGAGTCCCAGCATCCACACTGAGTGGAGCCTTGTTGCACAGACAAAATAAAAACACCCCAAGGCGTTCAAGAGAACCCTGACCTCAGGCCCTAACAGCTCGGGATGATGCAACAATGGATGATGTTTGATGGATGATGCAACAATTTTTCCTAATCTTATGTCTATCTCCCTGTCTCCCATAATCTGTACCTTGTACCACTTCACTCTTCTTCCTTGAAACTCATCAGACTCCTCAGAAGGATCCTCCCTGAATGCTTAGCCTCAACCAGGGACCCGCTGCCCACACTCGGCAGACCTGTGCCTGTCGGCACATTTCCCCCCCTCCCACCAGGCAACGTGGAAGTCTGTTGTCTAACCGCCTCTTACCTTCCTGGAAAACGTCATCCAGGCTGGAAGGCTCAGGATCTGAGGCATCTTGCAGGGCAGCGGCAGCCTCCTCTTCCAAGACCTGGGTCTGCCAGTGGCGGCTCTGCCGGAGCCAGGCCCTCCGCTTCTCCCAGGATGTGGGGCTCAGCACCGAGCCCTCCATGGCCCTGGCTCAGACTTCAGGACCTTCTGTGGCGCAGTGCTGTTCTTCTGAGATCTGAAACACATAGTCCGTTCAGAAACCACCCCAGGGTGCCCCCACATCTTCCCAGGTCTCCCAGGTCTGCATGAAGGAGCGAGAACCTTCTGCCCATCCAGAAAGAGGAAGGAGCTGTCCAGCCCTTCCTCTGGTTTCCAAAAGAAAAAAAAAAAAAAAAAGCTCTGAACTAGACGAGAGCAAGTCTTTCAAATCAGCAAATCTGGGAACTTCAAATATCTTATGATGTAAGGGACATTGAGAAAGTTCTTCTAACCTAAAGAACTGCTACTTCTCATGAGAGGTGACATACTGTATTAAAAAATAACGTTTCCGGTATGTGGGAGGCTCAGTTGGTTGAGCATCTGACTCTTGATTTTGGCTCATGTTATAATCCCAGGGTTGTAGGATCAGGCTCTGTGCTGAGCGAGGAGCATGCTTAAGATTCTCTCTCTCTCTCTAGGGGCGCCTACGTGGCTCAGTCAGTTGGGTGTACGACTTTAGCTCACATCATGATCTCATGGGTCATGAGTTTGAAACCCCTGTTGGATTCTGTGCTGACAAGCTCAGAGCCTGGAGCCTGCTTCAGACTCTGTGTCTTCCTCTCTCACTGCCCCTCTCCCCCTCATGCTCTGTCTCTCTCTGTCTCTCAAAAATGAATAAACGCTAAAAATTTTTTTTAAAGATTCCCTCTCTCTCTCTCTGCCCCTCCCCTCCTTGAGTGCATGCTGTCTCTAAAACAAAACAAAACAAAACAAAACAAAACAAAACAAAACAAAATAACTTTTTTCTAATCCTTAATGATGTTGCCTCTCAGAATCTTCCATTAAAATGAAATATCTTTAAATTTGCATTTTTTTACATTTTTATTTATTATTGAGAGGCAGAGAGAGACAGAGCATGAGCAGGGGAGGGTCAGAGAGAGGGGGAGACACAGGATCTGAAACAGGCTCCAGGCTCTGAGCTGTCAGCACAGAGCCTGATGCAGGGCTCGAACTCACAAACCGCAAGATCATGACCCAAGCTGAAGTCGGATGCTTAACTTACTGAGCCACCCAGGCGCCTCTAAATTTGCAATTTACACAGTTTACTTCATTTGCTCTTCATAGAGATACATGAAGAATTTCCAGGTCTCAAAGGTTAAACAACTTTTTTTAAGGTGCCACAGCCTGGATGTCACTCCAACCACAACCATTCTGAGTTTGTTGTTTGGTTTTGTTTCCTGTTTCATACATTAGGGTCCACATAAGATCTCTCTTGGAAAAGAAATCCCATAATACAAACAACAAAGTGTCATGGCTTTATGCAATTAGCAGTCACAACCTTCAGGATCATTATTTTCTAATTTGTCAACTTGGGTTTCTCCACAGCTGTGAGTTAACCCCTCAGTTCATCAATGCATTTGTGTGTGTGTGTGTGTGTGCATGCTAGTTTTTATTTTAGAGACGTGGGGAGGGGCAGAGGGAGAGGGAGAGAGAATCCTAAGCAGGCTTCATGCTCAGTGTGGAACACAACGTGGGGCTCAATCCCACAACTGTTGAGACCATGACTTGAGTCAAAATCGAGTCAGATGCTCAACTAACTGAGCCACCCAGGTGCCCCAATGCATTTATATTTCATTTAACACTGCCCACTGAACATCTCTGTGTTCCTCCCGAAGATATATTCTGATGCCATTAGTCACTTATTCAAAGAGAGAGAAGGAGGGGAAACATCACTTGACTGTCCAAATAGAGCTTAAAAGGCCTTGAGGCCGATGTACCTTGAGGCACATTCATTAGCTTATACTCTGTCCTTATACTCTGTCCATTAGCTCTCATTCCTCTGCTCCCTGGAGCTGCCATCAATGGCTTCATCTTCATTGCTGTGCTTTTAATTGTTGGAGCAAGGGAGGGGACGCCTGGGTGGCTCAGTCAGTTAAGCATACGACTTCAGCTCAGATCATGATCTCACAGTTCAGGAGTTTGAGTCCGCTGTTGGGCTTTATGCTGACAGCTCAGAGCCTGGAGCCTGCTTCAGATTCTGTGTGTCTCTCTCTCTCTGCTCCTCTCCTGCTCATGCTGTCTCTCTCTCTCTCTCTCTCTCTCTCTCAAAAATAAATAAACATTGATTTTTTTAATTGTGGGAGCAAGGGAAAACAAAAGGAAAAAAATAAGAAGAGTGCCAGTTTCCTTAGACTTTTATTCTTCAAGGGCTTGAAAAAGAAAATCATTAGGGAGGTGTGCAACAATTTAGGCGCTAAAACAGCTGTTTTTGAGAACATCCCAAATATATGGTGCCTTCCTAGGGCAATAAAATTGTTTTGGATGCCTCTGCTTGTTACAGACAAAACATGTCCAGAGAAAACTAATACATAGTTACTGTTGTCTGAGCTAAATTCTTTCACTTCATGTCCAGACCAAGCGCAAAAATATCCTCCTAGGAGAGACAGCAGTCAGCACAACGAGTCGTTGTTAACTCTGGGCACCGGCGCTTTGTCCACTGCTTGTGCCTTTTCAGGCAAATTAAATGAATACATTAAGCTTGTGACGCAGGCAAGCCACAAAGAGGTGGTGCAGAAAAAAATTTGTCCTTTAGACAGAGTTCCTGTGAAGTGATAAACGTCAAAATGAAACTACCACTAGAATGAACTTAGGAAAAGAGTCTTAAAAGCTTTGATTGGGATTTGTTTACCGAGCTCATCACCTTCAAAATATTGACTACGTTAATGTCAGTTGGTCCAGAGAAGAAAACATGAAAGACTGACTTGCCTACTGTCTTTAATTCCCAGAGTTAATGGACCTCATCTAAACCACAAGAACTCTCCAGCTCACAAAGAGCTTTTTCGGTGATGAAGGGAATTTAAAAGGAAGGCAGGAGGGCAGGAAAAAAGGAGGGGACGAAGAAGTGAAAGAAGGAGAGAAGAAAGGAAGGAAGGAAGGAGGGAAGGAAGGAAGGAGGGAGGGAAGATGGGGGGAAGGAGGGAGGAGACGAAGGATGGAGGAGAGGAAAGAAGGCGGGGAGGAAGGAAGAGGGAAGGAAAGAAGGAAAGAAAGAATATGTGACTCTCACACTTTACTCTGCCACCTGCTACTGGTATGCCTTTGGGAAATTTAGTCCATTTCTCTGGTCTCGGTTTCTCAACAGGGACATTATGCCCTAAAATTTGATGCTTCTCATACCATAAACTTGCAATGTGTCATTTTACAGCTGAACCCCCAAAGGCCTAGCAGAGTGTCAGAATCTCATCGATTGAGATGGGAGATAGACGCCTCTACTTGGGTTTCAACATCCTCTGTGATACGGATCTATTCTACATTCCTCCACAACTTAGAAAATATATTACACACATATAGGCTAAGTTCCTCTCTGCCTCCTGAAAATACTTATCTCCTTTTAAACCCTACACTTTTCTCATGTTCTTTCACCTCTCCATATTCCTCTCCCTTGGCCTTTACATATATCCTTGCAAAGCTCATTCTTAACCAACCTTCTTCATGAAGTCAAACCTGGCCTACAATAGTTACCTTCATGTATTTCCTTCCCTGCCTTTTTTTTTTTTTTTTTTTTTTTTTTTTTTTTTTTNTCACTAGCAAACTTTATATTTTATTTATTCATCCAATTTATTGTTTGATTTTCTGATTGGAATATAAACTTCACAAGGATAGAGATTTTGTCTGGGTTGTTCACTGCTGTATTCTTAATGCATAAAACTGAAAAGAATTCATTGTAGTTGCTTCGTAAATACTTATTCTCTAAATGAATGAATATTCATAGTAGGTGACTATTCCCCAAAGGAGCCCATTGTGTTACAGATTCATCATAATCTAAGAGGCCTATATAGGGAGATCAACTTTGAAAGTGTTAACAATGGGGGCGCCTGGGTGGCTTAGTCGGTTAAGCGTCCGACTTTCGCTTAGGTCATGATCTCACGGTTCGTGGGTTCGAGCCCCGCGTCGGGCTCTGTGCTGACTGCCAGCTCAGAGCCTGGGGCCTGTTTCAGTCTGTGACTCCCTCTCTCTCTGACCCTCCCCTGTTCACGCTGTCTCTCCCTCTCTCTCCTAGAAATAAATAAAACATTAAAAAAAAAAAAAAGAAAGTGTTAACAATGAACTTATAACTAAGCATGTAACAGTGTTTCCAGCTTCAAGTTGGAGAAAAAAGATGAATTTGAGAGGTAGTCTAAGACTTGTTTCTGTTCTAGAAGTTCCTTTAATTATGAACAGAAGTTGTAATTTCTTAGCTATTCCTTTCTTTTCTAAGTTTATTATTATTATGTTTTTAGTAATCTCTATAGCTATATAGTAATCTCTATACCTAATGTGGGGCTTGAACTCCCGACCATGAGATCAAGGGTCCCATGATCTTCTGACTGAGCCAGCCAGGTGCCCCTTCTTAACTATTCTTATTTGCTCTTCTGCCCTATGCACAAAGGTTCTACTCAATGTAAATACCTACAGGGAAAAGCCTATAGAACCAGAATTCTCCATATGTGAGTGTTCCAAAGAAGGGCTTTCATGTATGTAGGTCTATGAATGACTATTACGGTTATGGCAACAAAAAGGCGAGACAAGTTAAGGTCTCTACCATCCACTGAGAAGGACAACCATTTTTAGAGCAATCTGTGTGAGAGTGGAATACCTTCCTCACTAGGGAAAGCCACATGGTTTCAAGTCCGAAAGAAAAGATGCAAGCCATATCTAAGCTAATCTCGACAGTGGCCAACTGGACGTGGGCCCAGGGAATTGAGCAATTTTCGCAATCTCTGCCACAGAGACCTGTTCATGGGTGTTATAGGGGAATGAGAAGCTCGGCGATACTATGAGGGAGGGAGGGATAGACCTGTCTGGTGAGTGGTCGCTGGGAAGAAGCTGTGCTGCCGAGCGATAGGAAACTGGGTATTCTTCGTGGGAATCTGGAGGAAGTGGCACATGATATCAGAGGACCACATCTGCAGTGACAGCGTTAGAAAGAATTGAAGGATGAGTGCAGGCACCAGTTGAGATGGCACCTTTGAAGGCTTTGGGGCCTCAGGTAATAGA